TTTATTATAAATAACATATACCAATATGTCTTTCAAACTTTTGGACACTACATACATCTGAACTTCGTAATGATTTCTCGATTGAAGGTCTTTGAGGTCTCGTTTCAATGGATTCGTCACTAGTCCCCCGATGTTGACGGTCATGAACTAACGCCATTTTTGAAAGTCTTGTATTATTAATCTCCGTATCGACTTGAAATATTTTCAGATGACAAAGCGTCGAAACGTCGATTAAATGATCGACTTCGTCTCGGGTTTGCATAACCGTCTCAAATTCTCCCAACCTACCCTCGTGTCATCAGGCTATATGTGTACACGGAAAAAGTTATCTATTCMTTAAATCTAAGCACTTCTGAGTTTGACCAAGCATTTGAGAGCTGAAAAAGTGAGAAAAAACTTTGGCTATACACTCTTTCGTGTCCTTTCAACATCACGCGAGCCTATAGAACGGATAAATTGTCCTATATTTTAAAATTCAGTATTTTAACCTGACCTGCTCCCAGTCTGACCTTGTAGCTCAGCTGGTAGAGCATCGCTAGTACAAATCCGAGGGTCGTTGGTTCGAATCCCACCGAGATCGGAATAACCTCCTTCTAGTTAAGCACTATTGATGGTTTTCAACCATTCCCATGAGAGTGAGCAAAACAAAAAGGTCCACCAGTCACGGTGGTGGTTTTCTTYTGTCAGRTMMACCARCAMTGGCGGACATCTTTTGTTTAACTTTCTCTCCTGGGAATGGTTGAAAACCATCAATCCCTTTCCTTTATTTATATTCCTTTTTTATATTCCTTTTTTTATATCATGTTTATCATAGTGCCATGCGAACCTCATATTGATATCTTTATATTCTAAAATTCAGTTTTTTTCCTACCACCACTTCACAGCGTCCTCCCACGTAGCGACTGTACCAAYAGGGTGTACAAACTTGTAGTATATATTCTCACGAAACTTTCCTCCATTACCCTTACTATGTTCCATTCCAACTTGGGGCTTCCTTGCATGGTATAGTGCCCAGGCTTCTGCGCCAGGAACTAACGAGTCGTCCCACTGGAGGTCCGGGACACAGTGTAAGGCACGCTTTGCATTGTGGGCAATAAGACAAGCAGTTTTATTGTCTGTTTGAATCAAAATAAGTATGACGCGACATTCTTGATTCAATAAACAAGATTTGTGTGTAAGAATAGGCCTTTTGCATTACAGTCACATGCTACTTAATCCGCCATACGGAAAAAAATATATAAACAACCTCAAAAACCAAAGGAGGAACACAAGCTTGCCTTTTATTTTGTTTTGAAAATTCCAGTGGGTATTTTGCCAGGAACTCCAGGAGCTTGCTTGTAATTTNCGTCATGGTTGGCAAGACTTTTGAACCTTTTTGCAATAGGACGTGAGATGATATAAAGTTCAGAAGCACGTAGTTCCTATATCGATCCTATACAAAATCCACAGTATATCCACTTCCTACCCACTACCTACCCCCTACCCCTGTTACACACATCCTGTTTCACAAATCTTTGAAAATTAGAGAATGACTTTTTACTATATAAGTTTTTAAAATTGATATTATCTCATTTTCATATCGTTTAACATATTTAAATATAGCTCTAGAAGCACCAATTCTCGGATGCAATATCCTATTACAGGCAAAACACAAACGGTACGTTCGAGGGGTAACGTTATAAAGTCCATGTTGTGTGCTGATTTTGTGATTCAAAGAAGTTCACATGTTTCAATATAAGTAGCTTTAATTTGTTTTTTTTTTTTTAGTTTCAAGTCATGTTTGGTATCGGATCGRCTTTCCAGTCCAATGCAAAGTTTCGTTCGTCTAGTCTTGCTTATAAATAACATGATTCGATCAAAGAAGACAGCAATACCGTTGCAATATAATAATGATAACTATTGATCATGTCTTCACAGTCCAAAACAAAAAAAACCTTTAGTTTGTCTGGGCCTCACAATTGTACGTTGTTTATCCCCATAATGTCATATCTGCGTCTCAAAGTGTATCATGTTATGGATCCATAGCATAAATAAATATACTTACCAAACGAATGAGGTTTAGTCATGCAAAGGGCTACAAAAAGGTACAGCGCAGCTCGAATCATCATTCTGTAATACTCGTTCGAGGATGGGAATTCTGTGTTAAAGTTAGTCTTTGAGACAAGTACATTTAAATGAAACAGAATACTCATGACCTTTGGTGATGACGTGAAGGTCAGTATACACGGGTTTGCGCGAATTTACTCACAGGTAACCCAAGCTATGAATTTTTACCATTGTTAATAGTTTATGTTTTTTTATTAAATTCAGATGTTGAATTTAGTGTAATTTTCACCGTGCTCTGAGCCTACTATTGAGGCTATTATTTTTATTATTTTTATTT